GGACCGGGTTAAGTATTCTGTTTGCAATTTTCAAAGTTCAGTTATCTCAAAAAGTGAAACGTATTAGACCCGTAAAGATCTTAAGGTAAAAGACCATGGCCAAAGACTCCCTCGTGAACTAAAAAACTAAATCTCAAAACCTAATACCTTAGACAGGGTTATAGAGGGGGTCTTAGGTCTTTGTTGTTTTAGATTAGGAGGGGGGTCCGAGGTCTTTTTGTTTTTGGTGGAGAGGGAGTCAAAAAACTTATCTTATTGGATTTGTTTAAATTATGATAGGTTATTATCTGTCTGTGCTAGTGTATGATGTCACATTCAAAACAAGTTCAATTTTATTTCATTTGGGTGGCAACAGCACCTACAGAAACATCCCCTACCGAAACATCCAGCCATTTTAGTAACATGAACATTTTTCCTTTTGTACAGAGACGGTACTCACAAGTTTTCCCACACTGTTGAGAGTGAACCACAACAGTCACAGGCTAACCAGGATGATATTAGTACACTTGGACATGGTGTACTGTGCTGTTTTTCAAACTCTGGCAAGTTATTTGCCCTCTGTAATCCAGAAAAAGAATTATTCATCTGGCAGACAAGTGACTGGAATCTACTGAGTAAAAGGTCTTGTTTTATCTTCCCAAGTTGATAGATCGTTTCTGTAATACACTTTTGAAGTTCTGTCATTTTTCTATTAGCTTTACATTCTAGCTAGTCAGAGCTTATCATTTCTATTGACCACAGGACAGACTGTATTCAACAGTTTGTCTTTTAAATATTGGATCAGTATAATTTCCATGGAATATTCAGCAATTTCAAGAGACTTTGGCCAATGTTAAGAAATATTCAAAAAATGTTGAACAAATAAAGACTGGCTTACAGATAAACCATCTTTGGAAATTTTCAGTGATGTGTAGTTCCAGAAAATATCCATACTCCCCTCACAGAAGGGATTGGAATTTCCTGGGGAGTGGGGGATTCTCGAAGACCAAAAATTTGAAAGAAATGTATGAAGCTTAACTGGAATTTCCAGAGGGGTGGGGAGGTCCATGGGGGAGGTATGGAT